GTATGGCATCTGGCACTTTGGAGAGGTGTTCTCTTCACGGATGAATCCTGGTTTTCACTGTACAGGGCAGATGGCAGACAGCGTGTATAGCGTCGTGGGTGAGCGGTTTGCTGATGTCAACGTGGATCGAGTGGCCCATGGTGGCAGTGGGGTTATGGTATGGGCAGGCAGATCTTGAGGCTCATTGTTGTGCCATTCATCTATCACCATCACCTCATGTTGCAGCATGATAATGCACGGCCCCCTGTTGCAAGGATCTGTATGCAATTCCTAGAAGCTAAAAACATCCCAGTTCTTGCATGGCCAGCATACTCACCACACGTCACCGACTGAGCATGTTTGGGATGCTCTGGATCGGTGTATACGACAGCGTGTTCCAGTTCCTGCCAATATCCAGAAACTTCGCACAGCCATTGAAGAGGAGTGGACCAACATTCCACAGGCCACAATCAACAACCTGATCAACTCTATGCGAAGGAGATGTGTTGCACTGCATGAGGCAAATGCTGGTCACACCAGATACTGACTGGTTCTTACAGCCCTTGGTATTTCTCGAGCTTCTCGTGTTCCTTCTTCTCACTCATTTCAATGAACATTCCTTTGTTGTCTGCATTGTTTGCCTGTTTATACTGCTTTTTCTGCATTGTTTGCACTGTTTGTTGATGTTAATACTGCTGTTTTGTTATATCCCACAGCCTTATGCGGTTTACTGTTTTGCACATTGAGAGCCGATGTACCCGAGTCGAATTCCTTGTGTGTCCATCACATATGGCCAATAAAGTGGTTTATCGCACCTGAGTTCAATTTCTCTAGCCACACCCAGGCCTGATTACTGCCACACCTGTTCGCAATCAAGAAATCACTTAAATAGGACCTGCCTGACAAAGTGAAGTAGACCAAAAGATCCTCAAAAGCTAGACATCATGCCGAGATCCAAAGAAATTCAAAACCAAATGAGAAAGAGAATAATTGAGCTCTATCAGTTTGGAAAAGGTTATAAAGCCATTTCTAAAGCTTTGGGACTGCAGCGAACCACAGTGAGAGCCATTATCCACAAATGGCGAAAACATGGAACAGTGGAGAACCTTCCCAGGAGTGGCCGGCCGACCAAAATTACCCCAAGAGCGCAGCGACAACTCATCCAAGAGGTCACAAAAGACCCCACAACAACATCCAAAGAACTGCAGGCCTCACTTGCCTCAGTTAAGGTGAGTGTTCATGACTCCACCATAAGAAAGAGACTGGGCAAAAATGGTTTGCATGGCAGAGTTCCGAGACGAAAACCACTGCTGAGCCAAAACAACATAAAGGGTCGTCTCAGTTTTGCCAGAAAACATCTTGATGATCCCCAAGGCTTTTGGGATAATACTCTGTGGACAGACGAGACAAAAGTTGAACTTTTTGGAAGGTGTGTGTCCCATTATGTGTGGCGTATATGTAACACCGCATTTCAGAAAAAGAACATCATACCAACAGTAAAATATGGTGGTGGTAATGGGCTGGTCTGGGGCTGTTTTGCTGCTTCAGGCCCTGGAAGACATGCTGTGATAAGTGGAACCATGAATTCTGCTGTGTACCACAATATCCTGAAGGAGAATGTCCGGCCATCCGTTTGTGACCTCAAGCTGAAGCGAACTTGGGTTCTGCAGCAGGACAATGATCCAAAGCACACCAGCAAGTCCACTTCTGAATGGCTAAAGAAAACCAAAATGAAGACTTTGGAGTGGCCTAGTCAAAGTCCTGACCTGAATCCAATTGAGATGCTGTGGCATGACCTTAAAAAGGCGGTTCATGCCCGAAAACCCTCCAATGTGGCTGACTTACAACAATTCTGCCAAGATGAGTGGGCCAAAATTCCTCCACAGCGCTGTGGAAGACTCATGGCAAGTTATCGAAAACGCTTGATTGCAGTTGTTGCTGCTAAGGGTGGCCCAACCAGTTATTAGGTTTAGGGGGCAAACACTTATTCACACAGGGCTTTGTAGTTTTGGATTTTGTTTTCCCTTAATAATAAAAACCTTCATTTAAAAACTGCATGATGTGTTTACTTGTGTTATCTTTGACTAATATTTAAATTAGTTTGATGATCTGAAACATTACAGTGTGACAAACATGCAAAAAGATAAGAAATCAGTAAGGGGGCAAATACTTTTTCACACCACTGTATATATACTGAGTTTCCTTGTTATTTTGACCAGTTAGCTTTTCACAATGTCACAAGAACTAGCATGAACTACACTGCTCAAAAAACGTTAGGGAACACTAAAATCACATCAGATCATGGTCAAAGAAAAGTAAAAACTTCACAGGCTCATACAAGTTGTGTGAATTTCATCATGGCAACTCATAATGTGACTCAGAAGTGTGTTTGGCCCCTGCATCCCTATATGCACTCCAGACAACATCTGGGTACCCTCCTGATGAGTTACCAGATGGTGTCCTGAGGGATCTTCTCCCAGACATGGATCAGGGAAACAATGAGCTGGACAGTCTGAGGTGATACTTGGTGGTGTCAGTTGCACCAATACGCAATGTCCCATAGGTGCTCAATTGGATTTAGGTCAGGAGAAAATGATGCCATTCAATGGCATCAATGCCTTCATCATCCAGGAACTCTCTACACACTCTGGCCACATGAGGCCGTGTATTGTCCTGCACCAGGAGGAACCCAGGGCCCACTGCACCAGCATAAGGTCTGACAGTCGCTTTGTGTATTTCTTTGTGGTAGCTCATAGCGGTCAGGGCAGGGTTGGCTATGGCATGGAGGTCTGTGTGGCCCTCCAAGAATATGCCTCCTCAGACCCTCACTGACCCACCACCAAACCCTCACTGAACCACCACCAAACCGGTCATGTTCAATGATGTTACAGGCAGCACAACGTTCACCACAGTGTCTCCAGATTCTTTCACGCCTGTTGCATGTGCTCAGTGTGAACCTGCTCTCTGAAGAGAATGGGGTGCCAGTGGCAGACCTGCCAACTCTGGTGTTCTCTGACGTTAGAGACTTGACTGGACTGAGGTGTTTAAGTTGGGTTTCACTAGGGTATGTGAGAAAGACTCTGTTAAGGTTAATTGAGGAGTTGTTAGTTTTGTAATACGAAAATTATTTTAGATTTAATTTTAGCTGTAGGAAGAGGTCGGTGTCTAATTACAACCGTTTAGAGGCGTTAAAGTCTCAGGCAAACATGGTCATATTTTGATTTTCCCTATTCTGAGCTCCGAAGTTCCATAGTTTAAAAACCATGGAAGGGGGGCCTGTAGTGGTTAAAAATAAATCAGATTCCAGAAGAACTATGCCATAGAACAGTATGTACCTCATATATAGACATTATTTGTACTTATTTCATTATTTGTACTTATTTGAGCTGAGTGGTTATGGGTTCATTAAGTACATGTGAGTTGGACAGTGTAAGTGGTCAGGAACAAGATGTTTCCTGTTTTTGAAGTCCATCTCAGGGTGTTGTCTCCCAAAACTGGAGACAGGAAGCTAGGTTCAGAAATAGATGCAACAGCATAAGGGAGGCTGCTGATAAAAAGGAGTGAGCCTGAGAGGGAAAGGAAGAAGGACCATGCTACCGTGAGCAGTGTACCACCAGCCCGGCCTCGGAGGGCTGGTGGGAGACGATGACTGACTGGGACTGACACCAAATGACCTGACTGACTGGTGCTCTGACAATCTTCTTAGGCTTTGTTTATTCCATTGCAAGAGAGGAGTCTCTGTGTTCTGATCTCTGCTCTCTGTTCCCTAACTACAGGATTATCTGTTTAATTACTACTCTATTTGGAATAATTGTAATATTAAATGATCCTTTAAATTGTAATGGTTTGTCTGAATTAATTTAGTTGGTATCTCACTCTTGCCACGACACCAGTCGAGCTGCATGGTGCTGGGCTGTCAGCACAGGTCACACTACAGGACGTCGGGCCCTCATGCCAACCTCATTGAGCCTGTTTCTGACAGTTTGGTTGGAAACATGCACACCAGTAGCTGCTGGAGATCATTTTGTAGGGCTCTCACAGTGCTCCTCCTATTCCTCTGTGCACAAAGGAGCAGATACCGGTCCTGCTGCTGGGTTGTTGCCCTTCTACTGCTCTGTCCAGCTCTCCTAGTGTAATGGTTGGTCTCCTGATATCTCCTCCATGCTCCTGAGTCTGTGCTGGGAGACACAGCAAACCTTGCAACTGCACACACAGATGTGCTATCTTGGGGTAAATGGAATACCTGTGCAACCTGACTGTGACTGGGCTGCAGGTACTGCCTTATGCTACCAGTAGTGACAAGGACACAAGCAAAACAAAACTTGAGAAGAATCAGTCAGAAAGGATAAGGAGCGAGCATTTTTTTGTGGACACCACATGCAAAACCATTCCCTTTTAGGGGGTTGTCTTGCTTTTGGCTCTCCATTGTACCTGTTGTCACTTTAATTTGCACCAAAGCAGGAGAAATTGATTCACAATCTCTTGTGCTTCCTAAATGGACAGACTAATATCCCTGAAGTTTATAACTTTTGAGCAGTTTATTTTATTGGTCTGCTGTTGACTGAAAATAAACCTTGCACCAGCTGAAGATTATTCCTGCATACCTATTAGGTTACTGTTATTTGGTTCCAATTAGCTGCTATCTAAGAAATTACTGGGCCCGAGTATAGACCTGTAAAATGTTGTGTTACGCCTTCATCAGTGCTTGATACTACTTCTGATCATGCTTTGATTGAGAATGCAGCTTCACAAATTGTGTTTCAATAATTATTTTTGCATAATTTTAATGATAACTAGGCTTAGACAACAGATATTTTTAACAATGAGTACACGTTAGTGAAACATGTTTAGAACCCAATTTGCTGGGTTATGCACAAACAAACGTGGCATCTCTATGCCCCACCGTCAGCAGGGAAATAACCTGTAATTACTTCTGATGGGTAGTTAAGGTGCTTTTCATCCAAACCTCCCCGCTTCAAATACAATTAGAAGTCACACCATCAAAAGACATAAGATCCCACCTGGTTATCCGTCAAGTGTAGTACTGTCTTCTTATAGGATATGATGTCAAAGTCCAGAGCCTTCCACACAGAGTGACCCAGCAAATCTCCCACCTTCTTCTTCTTTGTGATGGCAACCAAGTACATGCCTAGTACAAAAGGGTTGTTGGATACAATACAATAACCATCAATTCTCCAATAGCTGATAGTTACCTTGTTTCTAGTGCTATCTGAAACATAATTTTCCTGTAGGCTATTATGTACTGAACTTAGCTTTTTTCTTTTTTTTTCTTTTTTTTTTTTTAATTGAACTTACCTGCCACCAAACGTATAGTCCCCATGAGTCCACATATTTGCCTGGTCTCAGCTGATACAGGTATGTCCCTCCTCACTGAGAACCACAGTAGGGGCACCATAATGATTAATGACAGCGTGTTCAGAAGACAAATAGTTGTACAATCATCAGAGCTACAGCTGCAACAAAGTCATTATTACTAATGTCAAATCAAATCAAATTTATTTATATAGCACTTTAAAAACATCCAGCTGACCAAAGTACTTTATATAGGCAGAACAAAATCACAATAAATAAGTAAAATAGAATAAATAAAATAGAATAAATAAGATCAGTGCAAAAATAAAATAGCCCAATAACACAGACACACAGATGACATACATTCAATAACTTCAAATTAAAAGGAATGCATCAGGCCCTACTGTGTATTAAAAGCCGAGGCAAATAAATATGTATTAAGCAATGATTTAAAAGTAATGAGGTCAGTAGCTGATCTAACATTAAAAGGTAGACTATTCCACAATTTAGGGGCTGTAGCTGATCTAACATTAAAAGGTAGACTATTCCACAATTTAGGGGCTGCAACAGTAAAAACAACGGTCACCCCAGCATTTATATCTGGCCATAGGCACCTCTAAAAGAAACTGGCTTGAAGATCTGAGGGACCTTATAGGTTTGTGCCAATACACTAACTCAGTGAGGTAAGATGGTGCCAAACGGTTAAGAGCCTTAAAACCAAAAATTAACAGCTTAAAATCAATGTTAAAATGGACTGGAAGCCAGTACCGGGGTCATATGCTCAAATTTTCTAGTATTTTTTAAAAGACGAGCAGCAGCGTTTTGAACCATCTGAAGACGAGAGAGGTAGGACTGGTTAACACCACAGTATAGAGCAGGGGTGGGCAAACTTTTTGACTCACGGGCAACAATGGGTTCTAAAATTTGACAGAGGGGCCTGGCCAGGAACAAAAGAATGGAGTGTTTGTGTGAACTATTATAAGCGACATATAAAAGCCATTACATAAAAGGTTTTGGCCTTTAACAGGTAGCAAAGCATGAATATGCAAAGCTTATTGTACAAATTATTCTCCAAATGCATTTTTTTCATAACACGGTAGAAAAATAAACTTTCAGTTTCAGTGGGAACAGTGTTGTTGGTCTCCCTTTTTAGCCAGTGCATCAAAGTCTGGAGTTAGTTTTGCTGTGGCTATTCTCAGGATAGATCTGAGTTGTTGGTCAGTCAACACGGATCTGTGACTGGCTTTGTTGATGTTCATGACACTGAACGTCTGCTCACACGCATAGGTCGAGCCAAACAATGCCAGCATCTTCTGTGACGTCCTCAGAAAGTTTGGAAACATGGCTTCGTTAAGTGAAGCACATAAGTTATTCAGTTTAAAAGAGCTGAACTTCTCCTTTAAAACAGAGTCAGACTGAAGATCAATTAGTTCCAATTGCAGCTCCGGTGGTGCTGTTTCAGGGTCTTATGACAGGGGACAGGACACCAGCTGAAGTGACTTGTCAATTTTTTCAAAATCAGAGAACTGACGGCAGAATTCTCCATGCACGTCGTCCAGTGATTTCCTGTATTTCTTCGCATTTTGGGTGGCCTCTTTCTGCATGGCTAGTGTGGGAAAATGAGCGAAAGATTTGTTTGAAATTTGTCTGGAGAATAAAGTCAGCTTGGATTTGAAGGCTCACTTAATTGTGTACATATTGTGCACTAACTGATCTTTCCTATGTAGCTTCACATTCAGTTCATTCATGTGTAAAAAAATGTCAACAGCAAACGCAAAGTCACAAAAAAGCTGTGTGTGTTCAGAATCAGAATCAGCTTTATTGGCCAGGTGTGACGGACACATGAGGAATTTGACTCAGGTACATCGGCTCTCAATGTGCAAAACAGTAAACCAGCATAAAGCTGTGGGATACAACAAAATAGCAGTATTAACATCAACAAACAGTGCAAACAATGCAGAAAAAGCAGTATAAACAAACAACGCAGACAACAAAGGAATGTTCACTGAAATGAGATACATAGGAATAAAACAGAATACTTAAGAACTAGAGACCTGTAAAAGTTTCTATAATCTGTATGAGGTATATTTACAGATATTACACTGAGGGTTATTGTCCAATCATACTGTCATGGGTTAGGTGATCATCAGAGCGACAGCCTGGGGGAAGAAACTGTCCCTGTGCCTGGTTGTCTTGGCGCACAGTGACCTGTAACACCGTTTACAGGGGAGGAGTTCAAACAGATTGTGTCCGGGGTGTGAGGGGTCTGCAGTGATCCTCTCCACCCTCCTTTTGACCTGTGCAGTGTACAGGTCCTCCATGGAGGGCAGGCTCACACCAATGACCTTTTCTGCAGTCCTGACTGTCCGCTGAAGTCTGTACTTGTCCTTTTTGGTTGCTGAGCCAAACCAGACAGTGATGGAGGTGCAGAAGACAGACTCGATGATTCCTCTGTAGAACTGTATTAGCAGTTCCAGTGCTGCCAAGTATGGTGAGTGGGGGCAAGGTGGGAGGGCTCTTCCTGAAGTCCACTGTCATCTCCACTGTTCTGAGCATGTTCAGCTCCAGGTTGTTGCGGCTACACCACAGGACCAGCTGCTCAACCTCCCGTCTGTAGGTTGACTCGTCATCGTCTCGGATGAGACCAATGACCATTGTCCATCCATCCATCCATTTTCCTCCGCTTCTCCAAAACCGGGGCGT